CAGCCCGTCAATTTTAAAAGTTTTTTCATAACAAGGCAGTTTCCGTTCAGCGCTTAGTATTAGTTCTGGCCTTGAATGAAGATTCCATTAAAAAGCCTTGCGCTCAGACATAAAATTAGGGAGATCTTGTAAGCATGAATTGAAATATATGAAATGCGGATGAAGGTATGAAAGTGAACATGATCATCGCATTAAATTTGCAGCCTATTCGGTTGAAAAATAATCTGAGATATTTTACAGCGTTATCGCAGAAAGTTAGAGGTAATATCATTCATTGTTGGGGAAAATACTCCGCGGCTTTAAATTAATAATTTCCACGATGTTTTAATTCCGGTAGTATAGTAACCTTTTCGTTAGGGCAGTTTCTAAAACGCACTGGAGAAAACTGCACAGTCTCTGTGAACTCTCACTTTAACTTGCGAGAGAGGCAAAAAGAAAATAGAGTGACATTACTTTCAAACCATTACGGGTTACCTTAGGCCGCGGTTTCAGAAATCATTGGACCTCCAGGCCTCTTTCTTGGTGGGTTAGTTTAAGAAAATAAGTGCTTTAGTTTTCCAGTCTGCCTTATATGCTTTATTGAAATTATTCACGATAAATGGGGATTGATAAAAGTGTTGGTTAAACTGAAAAGGGCTTAATTATGACGCGATTTTGTAATATACCGGCTAAATAACTGGCCCTTAGTTTCTAATAAAAACAAGTAAACAAAATATAAAATGGAAAATTCCCCAGCAAGAAGTGCGTAAAATCACTCTTCTCAAAGTACAATAAATTTTAAGAGAAGCCACTACAGAGGCAAATGCTTTCCGGTTCAGCAGAAAGACTTCCAATGCGGCTCATTTGTAGTTGAGCTCTTTGTTGAACCGAAATCTTGTTGACGTACAGGAATTCAGTTGACGTGTGAATTTGTCACCTCCAAGCAAATGAGCCGTAAAAAGTTGATTACTTCTTCAGAGCTCCCCTGCTGATGTTCGCCTATTGAATAGGCGAACATCAGCAGGGGTCTACGATTTCAGATCTCTATGAATCTCGTCATGTGATACACCGTTTCTGTCGTTTTTGTAGACTCTTTCCCGGAAAAAAGGTGTGCAAAATCTGATTCCATTGGCCTGACGTCTGGCAAGAAACACCAAGGTAAGTTTTAATCTAGAAAGTTACCTGAAAATCGGTGTTTTTCTGGCATAATTTACACCGTCGTCTCGATAGGGCGTAATAGCGAAAGTTTTGTACTCTTATATTTATGCTGTATTTTTGTAGAAAGCTTTAAAAAATATCTAAAATCGCAATCATTTGACTTTTGCGACACTATACGGCAACTGAATCATATGAACTGATCATCGCTGCAATGGGAATCTTTTGCTTTCTACCTGCCTTCTTGATATCGATATATAAATTAAAATAGAGTACAAATTAAGATGTGTAGCGACGAGAAAAAATTAGGGGCCGAAAATGATATAACAGAAGTTTACAACAACTTAAGACCGCGGCTCCATATAGTAGAAAAACTTGTTTCATGTTTCTGTTTGCAAGAGAAAACAATTCATTTGCGGGGAAGAGTACTGTATCAAGTCTATTAAAGAACAAAATCTTTAACAAGCAAATCAGTGTGGAAATTCAGTTCATATCCTAGTAACATTATGGTTGATCATTTTACTAAGCTATGATTACTTGTTTCTTGACGCTTTTTAAAGCTTCAAGGAAAACCAAGACTTACTGACGGAACTTGTCTATTCTACTCGGATGATACCTTTTACCGATATATTTCAGTAGAGAACTTTCTACATAAAATTAGTGTCTCAGTTGCCTGCGGAAAGCTGATAGCCGCCGCAGATACACAGCTAGGCACCGCAGGCAAAGGGATTCTGCAAGCCATCCAAGCCCGCCTGTGTAGGTGACCGCTTACCTTTCATTCCATTTCAGTCTAGTCCATCTACATTTCCGCCTCTTTGCTCTTCAGTGGAGTGCTTTTTCGTAAATGCGTCCTTGCCTCGTCCCTGTATGACATTTATTTACGAAGGAGTTCATGACAATACATTTCGGTTGCGTATCCAATGCGAACGGCCTTGGTACGCATTCGCTTGAGTGACGGACTTTGACATAGTTACCAGTAGAGGCCAAGTCGGCCAAGTTACACCACTGCACAAAGGTGGTCAGCATCGTGAAAGAAATAACTATCGCCCCATATCAGTGCTGCCAATCCTATCTAAAATCATCGAAAAACATGTAGCACACTCGCTATTAAAATATCTTCAACAGAACAATTTGCTATATGAATTAAAATCAGCCTTCCGTTCTGGTCATTCCACTGAAATGGCTCTTATCAGAATCACGGACGAAATTTTGTTTAAAATGGATAATGATGAAGTCACGAGACTAGTATTTGTTGATTTCCGTAAAGCGTTCGACGTAATCAATCACAATCTACTACTAAAGAAATTATCAGTGTACGGTGCCAGCCCACATAGTGTTGCCTGGTTTCGATGGTATCTGGAAGAGGACAGACAATTTGTGAAACTAGGGCATATAACATCTGAGCCGAAACCTGTCAGGCAAGGGGTACCGCAGGGATCAATCCTTGGTCCAGTTTTATTTCTCTTATTTGTGAATGATATGCCTTTACATTTGAACAACTCGACCATTGATATATATCATTATGCTGACGATAGCACCCGTCCTTGAGTGCAAACTGGAATAATATCTCTTCTTTAACTCAGGCTCTTTCTAATGACTTGGAGAATATCGAGAAATGGTCAACTGAAAACAAAATGTACATTAATACCGAGAAGACTAAAGCGTTTACTTGTTACGGGAAAAAGGTTAAACCATAAGCTTTGTGAGCAAACAGCCACCTTAAAACTACGCCTTGACGCCACAAATATCGACCAGTTATCGCATCACAAGTTACTGGGTTTAATCATTGATAAAGATCTTAGCTTTGAAGCACACATAGATGAAGATTAGTCCTTATGTCAAGCAAAGACACAAGTTAACTTTCTATCTTGCCACTATAAAGCCAGTTATGCTGTACCTGAGTCCAATCTGGTCATCGTGTAATGAAGAATTAACTACGCTTAATGAACTTAACTGGATTCCATTTTTTTATCGAAGCATATATAAGTAGATGTTCTATAGCCTCTAAGGGAATAGAGGGCACAACTCCAGATTATATTAATTATATATTAAAGACAAATTCTGAGATTCATAACCGATCCACTCGTTTTGCAAATTTGAATTTTCATTGTCCTGTTTTTAAGAAAAACACAGAAGGAGGCCGGACCTTTAGCGTGCGAACTATCGGAAATTGGAACAAAATGTCCATGGACGTAAAGAAGGTGAACAATGTGAAATCTTTTAAAAAGAAATTGAATACGAATTTGATCGCTAAGCAAAAAGAGACAGGTAATTTAGAATATCTTTGAAATAGTTTTTAAATAGTTTTAAATATCTTTTAAATATTAAGTCTGTAAAGTAATGTTAATGTTAATTTTTACATTTTTATAGTGATAGTGTAAAATTATTTTAATATTTTATTTGTTTTTATGTTTTATAGAGGGCCACAAGATTATCAGTTTCTTGATAACTGTCACGTGTTTACCCTCTTAAATAAAGGCCTTAACTTACCTTACCTTACCCAGAGGTGGGTTGTAAAACCAGAGGGGAGCACCATGCAAAATCATAGCCCAAAGGAGGGAGCAAAACTTAAATTTTTCTTTCAAGAAGGGGCTTGGTATCAAGCCTTGGTTGGTGTCTATTTTCTTGTGGGCAAGCTGTCTCACTGAAAATAATAATGATTTCATTCTGGTGGTGATTTGAACAAAACTTGATTTATATGTGATCAAAATATAACAAAGAGCTAGCAATAATTAGTACCAAAGCCATGAATAATCCTGATTTCGAAAAGGGGGTGTCTCGTTATGAGACAAAAGTGACCAACAGATGTTGTGTCTCCTCTATAGCAATTCCAGACGTAGTTAATTCAAAGAAATCGATATCGGAAATCAATCGATTTTATCCGCCGATTGATATCGATTGAAGTTGGAAATCGATAGAAATCGAAGTCATAGGAAAAATAATTTATCGATTATTATCGATTAACAAAAATCGATAACAATCGATAGCAATCGATAACAAGCAATAATCATAAAGTGAATGTTCTGAACATGACGATGCTATATGGCAAGCAACACCCATTAAGCTTAACACATTTCAGTTTTGACTTCAGTAAACTACAACCCGCAGCAAAACATACCACGACTGAATGACTCAATAATACCGTGCGGACGGCATTGTGTTAAAGTTGAACTTCTACCGAATGACTCAAGTCTTTTCTGCTAATAATCGATTGTAATCGATAACAATCGATAAATTAATCATTATCGATTTCTGTCGGAAATCGATATTAATCGAAGTCACAACTTTTTTCTATATCGATTTCCATCGATTGATATCGGAAATTGATATTCATCGATGATTGATATCGATTACTATCAATTATTATCGATCATCGGTTTATCGATTAACTACTTCTGGAGTAATTATGTTTAAATGTAAAGACATTTTCAGCCAAAACGGAGTGCAAGGTGAACCTCGGCAAACATGAAGATTGTGCGAATAGCGGCATACGGGGATGCCTCCCCTATTTGATCACGACACAAACATGACGAAAACATTGTCAGTAACACAACGTCGTGGTTTGCAATCGCACTGGCTGCGATAAGAACTAGACGGATTTTAAGAGAAAAAGCGGACTGCAAGCAGTCTAACAGCAATCGTGATGCCAGCTCAGCTCTCTCCCCAAATACGTTCATACACTCCCGTAGTTCCCTCGAAAACCATACCCGATTGCAGACCAAAATGGGCAAATTCGGACCAAAAAAGCTCCAAAACCCTACCCTTTAGGGCGGCACATGTACCTATACGGATTATATAAGGGAGTACCCCCACTCCCGGGATAAAACCATAGCAAGAACAGCAAGACGAAAAGTCGATGGACGACGATGATTGATGGCGATGACGATGCTTCCGCAGGTAACATGGGCACATGCGCAGACTGCGTTGATCCTGATGCGCTCGAATGTGCAGAGTTCCCAAACTTCAAGACTTTGACACAAGACCACTTTTCTTTGATTATTGGAAAGGCAGCCATGAGACCTTGTCCTTTCGATCCTGCACCTACACCTGTGGTTCTACAGGTTCTTGATGTGCTGTTACCGGTAATCACTTGTATGATCAACGTATCGTTTGAATCTGGTCTGTTCGCAGAGGAATGGAGGCAGGCCCTAGTATTACCCACGTTGAAGAAGTGTGGTCTAGACATCGCGTACAAAAACTTTCGCCCAGTGAGCAACCTCCCGTATGTCTCCAAGTGATCAACGGTCTCACCTTGAGCTCCAGTCGGCCTGCAAGAAACACCATAGTACTGAGTCAGCGCTGTTAAAAGTTAAGAACGATATTTTATTGAATACAGATGCGCAGAAGGTGACCTCACTGGTGCTTTTAGATCTCAGCGCAGCTTTTGATACTGTATGCCGCGACATCTTGTTGGATCGGTTGAGTTTAAAACTTGGTGTGACTGACCAGGCACTCAACTGGTTTACATCGTACCTCTTCGACCGTGCACAGCGTTTTGCAGTTAATGGAGGGCTGTCTGATACCTTTCGTTCGCGCAAGGGTTGCCGCAAGAGTCTTGTCTTGGCCCGCTTCTGTTAACAGTATATACCAGCGAACTATTCGAGATAGTGGGTCGACAGTTGCCAAGCGTGCACTCTTACGCCAAAGATACAAAATTGTAATTGGCGTTCAAGTCCAAACGTTCAAGGTGATGACGCTAGTGCGGTAAAGGCTATGCGTGATTGCATCATGGATTTAAGGAAGTGGATGATTAGAGACCGACATCATGTTAAATGATGATAACACTGAGTTTTTGCTCCTTGGTACCAGGCAACAGTAGCAAAGGTTGACATTAGAAGTAATACTGTTGGTGAGTCCGTTGTGAACACAAATCCAGTTGTCAGGATCTGGGTTCCTGGTTTGATTCTCAACTTAGTACGTCTACTTATATTAGTTTCTTTCATCTACATAACATCAGTCGTATTCGCAAGTTCCTAAGCCTGAGGAAACTAAGACCCTAGTGCATTCATTAGTCACTTCTCGCGTTGACTTTTGTATGGTCTACCTGCCTCACAGCTTAACAAGTTTCAGCGTGTTTTAAAGGGACTGGTTCACGATAATGCGCATGTGTGAGTTCTGACAGTAGCTGATTGTTTTTTCAACCAATCGGAAGCGAGTTAGATGCACGCAAGTAAATTTACAAAATTCAAATTAATTGTTCGCGACGCGAGAGTATTTCCGGGCATTTGGTTTGATTTTATTTATCCCCATAATTCAGATATATGTTGCAGCCGATAAGAATAAGATTTACAGCCCTGTCCTGCTTTGAAACAAACATTTACCAACGTGTATTTTTACGAGGTCGTACCCACGCTAACAAAACAGTCACCGATCGGCAAACAAAATTTGTAAACAAACATCTTATTACTGTTCTCTCAGTTCGCCTTATATAAACCCAGAAATACCTACAAATAGCGCCGGACCGGTGACAAAAACACACAACGTATGAGTGTAAAGATTATCCTTAATTGAGCATAAATTTCAATTGCTTATCAGCAAATGAACAAATTCATTCGCGTTGCATCGGGTCAGTGTTCCGCGAAACAAATGTTATCGAGTAGCACACATAAAGAAACTAGATTATAAACAGAATATTCAGGCAATAATTTATTTTAAAAACATCAATTCTTAAACATATACGATCGTAAAGCAAAGATACAAGGAACATTTCAAGTGTACCAGATCGGTGAAGATCGCGCGGCCTGTTGCGGTATAACTACAGGTCGGAGTCAAAAATCAAATCAAAGTTGAACGAACTCATGCCTTTAACCACTTTCCAAGTGTCGTGTATTCTTTTCGTATGCCACACACTACTCCTAGAACCATACCAGATCGATAGGCTAAGCTTCTCTGTCTCCAGAGACTCTTGAGAACGTTCTGTTGCCGGACGGCCACGATGCTCTTCTCAACCTCCATGATCAAAACATTATTTTTTGCGTCTTCTTAAAACGTAACCAGTCAAACGACACAACCACACGTTAATCACCACTACCGAAGTATAACTAGACCAGCCAAAGCGACAGATGTCCGAATAAAACGAAGGATTTTCAATGATTGTACCGGTAATGGCGATTTCGAATTTAGTGTTGACCCAACAAATTTATTCTGAAGAGACAAACGGCGCGCATGCGCATTATCGTGAACCAGTCCCTTTAAACACTACAGCGAGGCTTGTTTGCTGCGCAACGCGCCTCAGCCATATTACACGATTGATGTATGAGCTACATTGGCTCCCGTTAAAGCAGCGCATTCATTTTAAGATTTTGTTATTTGCATTCAAGACTATCCATGGAATAGCCACCACATACATTCACAAGTTAGTTTCTTTGAAATCGCAAGGCGCATATAACCCCCGATCGTCAGGTGGGATTTTGCTAGCATTGCCAACATTTAGAACTAAGGTCACACTAGGCGATAGGTCTTTTCAGGTGGCTGCGTCCAAGTTATGGAATGCTTTACAGCGCGAGCTTCGCGAGATTCCGGACTTACATACTTTTAAGAGCCATCTTAAAACGTACCTTTTAAAGTTTGCTTATAGTTTAAACTGTTAAATGAATGATAATTGTTACATATCGCCGGATATTTTAGATTTCTATTGTAGAGTTGTATATATTCTTATTGTTTTTTGCATTGTAAATAGGCTTTTTTAATGTTTTTATTACCAATGTAATGCGCATTTGATCATTTTTATGAATACCTGAGCAATATAAGCTATTAAATTATTATTATTATCATTATTTAAATTCAAAAAGTATTCATAACTCCTTTTGAAGAAATTTCCCAACATTAGCTAAACAAATGCTTTCAAAAGTTTCATTGATCGGCAAGAAAACGCGACGGCCGTTCGGTCATTTGCGCGCCAAAATTGTAATCGTTGGCAGCTGTGAATGGCTTAAAAACCATCATTTTTGTGCTCAATTATCTCACTATTTTAGTATATACCAAAATCCATGGCCACTTTAATGAATAATTGTTATTTAGTATTTGCCAAATCAGAGCATAGTAATTTTCGCGCGTTCTGATTGGCGCCCGTTACTCGGAATACCCTTGGCTATTCACTGTTTTGCGACCGGAGTCAAGATGGCGTCTCGTTTCGAGGCGATTTTCGGAAGACGAAATTTGAGCGGTAAATGAAGCAGTCGTACAAACAAATACCAAGAAAGCGACGAACTTTGGCTTGTTGGTGTTAACTAGTAGAGAAAAGTATTTTCATGAAGAATTTGCGAAGAAATCGACGAAATGCAATTGACAAAATCCCTGAAATGTTTGAAAATTGGAAACAAAGTTCCTACTAAGTGATGTTTTTAATTTACAAAAAGTTACTTTTTTCATTTTTATCCCACTGATTTGCTAAATACTAAAACAACTATCCCCCTCAGGGTCGGCGAACAGCATTAGATATATATCCACCACTATTCACCTTCCCTTCGAGGGATAGTTGTATACTGTTCATCACATTCTCAAAATATCCCGAGGGCAAATGTCTTGACGAAAGTCTACGGAGATGTAAGGCGTTAAGAGTGAGTGATAAAACTACCGTTGAACCTCTCCACAACGGCCACCTTGGGGACAGAAGAACTGAAAGTGGCCGTTGTAGAGAGGTGGCCGGAGTTTCGACTGTATTCAACTTTTGAAGTGGCCTTAAGATTAGTAAAATTGAGTAGTTTGAAAGTGATTTCGTGAAAACTAACGAAGAGATAGTTCCTGAAAGTCACACAATTTTACAGGCGTTTGAGTGGTAAAAACGTCTGTAACTTTTCGCAACTTTGCAGGGCTCTATCTTCGCTCGCTTAAGACGTATCACTTTCAAATTTGGCAATTTTATTAACATTAAGGCGCTCTTTCTAGTGGTGTTGACGGATTTTCCCAAACTTATCCATGTCAAAAGTTGAAAAAACCATGAAAAGGTCTATTCGGCTTTCGTATGATGAGAAGAATTATGCAGATATCGGAGGCTGTTATCTACCTCGGGTTTCCTATAACACCCTCCTCGATCTCCATAATTCTTTATATCATACTCAGCCGCAGTCAATAATTATCAATTACACCTTTGCGTAAATTAACAATTATTGAGCTAACGCAAATGGGGCCAGGAGGTAAAATCTTTCAAATAGCTGGAAGTTATAGTTCCGTATGAATAAGTCTAATTCAACATCATTATGATAGGAGTACTTCTGGAAGGTAGTTCGGTTCAGTACTTAAATCTCAAGATCGTTATCAGCAACTTCATTACGCTGAGGATAATCCTGCAACTTTTCAAAGGAAAGCAGAGGAGGTCTGGTATCCTGTTAAAGGATTAATCCATTGTCGATGTACATTGAAAAACATTATCCTCGCTCCAGAACTTTCGTTTGACCGTTCGCGCATTCCTGAAGCAAAATACGGGCTGTTTTGCAGTGCAACCATAATCCCATATAACTTTAATTTTCTATATCATACAGAGAAACTTCATTTAACTTAAACTTCGACATCATACAGAGAAACTTCGTAAACGGGATTCTAAATGCAGGTTCGGATGAAATTAAATTAATGGCGCAGATATTAATGCCTTATTTAATTTGAGGCTCGAAGTGAATTTGCACAAATTTTTGAAAATTATCAGTGATTACCTATAACACATCTGTTTATCTCTCTATTTTAGGAGTCTCTTGCAGATTAGGATGGCGTATATTGATTAAAACATTCTTTCCAGTACGTTCATGCTGATGCTTTTTTTTTTTACCAAAACAAGACGCCTAAAGTCGTTTCCGTGGGATGTGTTGGTCTATGGAAGCATAATGGCGTTCTATCTAGGTTAATGGAACAAAACAAAACAAAACATCCGCTTGCTTTGTCCAGGGTCGAACCCAGGGTTAACAAAATTCTATAAAGTTCCAATGTTTTAATCCAAGATGAAATTTTGATATTACAAGATGCTCTTGATACGGTTAAAAATTAATTGCAATGTGTTTTCAAGGTCTCAAAGTTAACATAGTTCCAATGATTATCCCTGATTCCAAGGTATAAGTTTACTCATGTCCTGATCCGTGTCCCATCCAGAAGTCCAATCCATGCCGAAAACGAGTCGTCGATCGACGAGGGCAATATTTTCGCGATTTCAACGCCAATCGTCAAGGGTACGAGTTGAAATTTACGCGATTTAACCTCCCATCGTCAAGGTGCTTTCGATAAGAATAGAAAAAAAAACTGAACTCTAGCTGTGCTCGGCAAAAACCGGCGAACTCCCAGGAACTCCGGATAGAAAAATCTATCGGAAATCACGGCCCGCAAACAGACGCTACTAAAACCTTATGAAAAAGCTAGACCTACACAAAAAAGAATCATGAAGGAAAGAAATAATTTGGCTTAGGTCGCCTTTCTTGACTTGCAAGTATCCCGAAGGATTTCGCTGGTTAACAAGCCATCCTAAACCACGAGTGGGAAAACTCAAGCGCGACAAAATTGGCAAGGAACGTTCTGATTTCAACCTTCTTCAGAGGAAGCAAATCGATTAAAAATCGATACAGATTTTGTACAATCAAGATTTTACGCAATCCTATTGGCTGGCTTTGCAATTTTGGGTACAACCGAACGGGATTTTTACCGTGGGAGTGCCACAGGCATCCCACGGAATAACCTTCCTAGCCTCCCACGCAGGCGTTTTTAGGGGAGCTCGTTTTTCATCCCTCCCCAAGGGAGGGATGAAAAACGAGCTTCCCTAAAAACGCCTGCGTGGGAGGGTATAACCTTCCATGTTAGAATGGCAAACTGAGTTACAGTATATTTGAGTTTATATGTTGTATCGGATCCGAGTATCGATCTTGGAGTCGTGACATTTTCTCAACGTCATGTAAAGGAAACAAGATAAATAAAGGGAAGCACTATTTGCACGTTTT